GGGGGCTTGGGGACAAGAAGAAATAGACTCCAATTTAGCTAAAGCTTTGCCTCGAAGGAGTTGTCATGTGTGAAGAGAACGATCCAACAAACAAATAAGCCTTCTTATTGAACATTGAGGGTGGCTATGGAAAAATTCTTGGCTCTTCATCAGAACAATACTAGGTACTATGGGCTTGATCAAGATGTCCATGGAAACTTACTGGAGGTGCTTTGGATCCATTGGGGTTATAGTGCTTCAATTGTTGCTAATTTGATGAATTTAGAATCGAATGGCTTAGGTCTGGGGAATGGGTGCAGTTGGGCCAGCTCAAATCTAATTCTCAAGGGCTACAATCGAATCAAGAAAGTTTAAATTTTGATTTACTGTGTAGACTAATGAGCCTAAGTGTCAATTAGATCAATTTTGAGTATAATTTTCCAACTAAACACATTGGATTTATTAGGCTCTAAATCAACTAGGTTAGGTTAGGTTGGGTGAGATTCTAACCACCTAATGATTAATGTCAATGGGTCTAGGCTCCTAGGGTCAAGTCCATGATCTAATGGATAAAATTGATTCAAATGGGTCAGGTGGGCTAGGGGTGTCAATTCGGGTCAACCCGTCGGGTTCGGGTTGAACCTGACCGGTAGCGCGGCAGTAGCAGCAGCGTGTGTTCGGCACGCGCGGCAGTGTAGCATGTGGGGCTGCGGGGCAGGCGGGCAGCGGGCTGGGGCAGCGGGCAATCCGGGCGGGGGCAGCGGGCGGGAAATTCAAATTTTCTTAAATTAAAGGGTTTTCGGGTTGACTCGGCAACCCGCTGGGTCAACCCGACCCGACCCGTTTTATCAAACGGGTCAAATCTGCGAACCCGAACCCGACCCGTTTATCAAACGGGTTGGGTCCAACCCGGATTTTCGGGTCGGGTTGTCGTGTCGTGTCAAATGTTGACACCCCTAAGGTGGGCTAAGGTCAATCTAAGGCACAACTATCCATCTATTTAGGATTCTAAGGGTTCCTAAGGGTCCAAGTGAGTCCAATGAGGGTTTTAGAGGTCATGAGTGGCCAGTAGCAACCTATGCTGTATTAGGTACTTGGTTCAAAGTCTTAGGGCCACTTATGGTCAACTATATTTGATGAATCAATCTATGTAGGCTAGGAGTTGCATAAAATGTACTAGGTGACAAATGAGTATAAGCTAGAGGCTAGAGATAAACGAACATGAATAATATTTAACTGTGCAAGCGGAGAAAATATCTCATTGTCTATGGCACAAGCTTGTGTGAAGTCTTGAGCCACTAATCGAGCCTTATATTTATGAATTTGTTCATTTGCCTTATATTTGAGTACAAAGTTCCATTCGCTTTGAACCAGATTTTTATTTTTTAGAAGAGCAACAATTTATCTACTCCCATTTTCAATGAGGGCTCTCATCTCCTCTAATATTGCTACTTTCTACTTTAATTCTTGAAAAGCTTCATAGATTTTACTTGTTATTTCAGCATTATCAATCTTGGTGGTAAATGGGGACAATTGTGAATGCGTCAAATTATTAGAAATTGGGCATTTGGTACATGTTCTTACCTTTTTTCTGAAAACATTGGGAAAATCTAGATCAACAATAGGAGCTTCCTCATTTAGACATTGCTTTGGGTTAGATGATTGACTATATTGAAAGGTTTAGGTCTCATTGGGTATACTAAGACAGGCTTGTTAATGATTATTTCTCCCTCTACTTCTCTCTTCTGGTTACTCCTGCAATCTGATGGAGATTTTCTCTCAGCTCAGAGTTGGAATGGAAGAGTTTGGAACATTTTTACAAATATGTTAGGGGATAGTAGGGTCCCAATGATTTTGGTCACTGAACTCTTATCCTTGTTGGGTAATATTGAAATAAAAAAAACTTATTCTTATAGCATGTGGCGTCAAGAGAAACTAGGAATTCTTTCAAGTTTGGAGAAAAATATTTATAACCTTTTTGTATTGGGGAATATCCAAAAACACATATTTGATAGCTTTTGGATCCATTTTATTATAGATTGGTTAATGACTGCCTATAGACAATACACTTGAATATTTATGGGGTAAGCAATCAAGAATCCTTGTGTTTGGTATTGATCAAGAATTACACTTAAGGGGGTGGAAATTAAAATGTTTTGGATGTTAGATAGTTGATAAGTAATTAGATATGAGAATGTCTTCCCCCCAATAGGAGTTTAGGACAATTTCTGAACATAATGGAACATGAAACTTACAAAGATGACAAATCTTCTTTTAGATACTTCTTTTTGTTAAGTTTAAATGCTAGAACTTTCATTGAGTATTCCATTATCACATATATATTGAGTACATTCTTGAGAGAAATATTTTATTACTGTTATCAATAAAAAAAAATTGAACGAAAGTTTGAAAAATATTTCTGATGAGCTTATGAATTATTTGAACAAGGCACAAACTCTATATTATTATTTCATGAACTTGCAGGTCTCTAGATGTCACTATTGATAAGATAAAAATCCTCAACGGTTTGTAGGGTTGTTCACTCTCTAAGGGAACATTCCTTTTCTTGATTAATAAATTTGGTTACGAAGCCTTCAAGTAGAAAAAATTAGGATGACCTTACTTCATATGTCATAACATAGCATCATAGTTTTGAAGATTAAAGTTGCAAACTACTTTGTTGTTGGAATTTGGCCAAGTCCTCAGTGGTGGTGAGATAGTAGAGTCCACTTGTCTCATAAGCACTACCAATTATCTTCTCCAAAGACTGGCTCTGTAACTCACAATTAAAAAAAAACATGTTACTTTATAGTTGAGAGATACTGTTAGTAACTTACTAGCATATAGCAAATTGTAAGTTAATTTGTTACACAAAAAATAACAAATTAACTTTATATGATGCATAACAACGGTAATTGATCATATATCCTAATTCCATTAGTTTGAGAAATATGTTTGAAAGTTTATTTTAGAACAAAATACACCTGTGATATTAAAATGAGTCATAATCCTTGATAGAAGACTCATGCGAACTTTCAAACAAGAAGCTGCTCGAACACCCCTCTTCTCAGCACATTCTTTGTCTACGAAATCTCAGAACTCGTGTGATCGATGTGCGCTAAAGCTTATGTGACAATCTCAGAGCTCGTGTGATTGATCTGTGCTAAAGCTTAACAACAATCTCAATTTTTCAACCATCATCTGTTCAAGGATTTGTCTAAGATAAGTTATATTATTTTTTTGATTATTTTAATTACTGGCAATCCTATGTTATAAAACTAAATAATAAAGTAGTCATGATTGTACAAAAATCAAAAGAGGAATACATGTAAACTCAGATCTGATTTTGAATTGCTAATCCACAATCTCCTTCCATTTCTTAGATCCTGAAAACCAGAAGCAATATCACAGTGAGCTACAATAGCTCAACAAACCACATAAATTAATCTAAAATTTTAAATATTTTTTTCAAGGTCTTTTTATATGTTGGGCTTTATATCTTTCATGAAATTTTCCTCCAACATTTCCTCCGTAACCCCCCTCAACTGCCCTGGAAGCGACTGAAATCTCTCCCCATATTCCATGATGGTTCCTTCCTGAGTTAAGGCAAAGAATTGCTCGTGTAGGTCTCCTTTCTGAATTGCTTGAAAATGTTCCAATTAACAATACTTAAAACTCCTCCCAATAGTGGAACAAATATCTAGCCTCCCTCCACTTGAACCAAGCTAGCTTTCCCCTCTAGATATTGCCCTGCTGCCTTAAGCTTCTCCCCTTCATTTAACCTATTCACCGTGAAATACCTCTGCACCATGTACACTCAACCATGGGCATCCTCCTCTTTAAATATTTGCATCTTTAACTTCCTTACCCTAGTATCTCCAGTCCAACTTCCTCTCCCTCAAATGGTTCCCCCCTGTGTATCTTGGGTGGGAATCCCACTTTTCTTCCCTTCGTGCATGATTCGATTCTCATGGCTCGGCTCGACCCCTCCATCTTTGGTCATCCATTCCCTTGCTCGAAATATCTCCCATAGTATTCGGCTATCCTACCACCTTCATCACCAAATTCTCTCCTTGTTGTCCCCCATTCGGAAATCCTAATCCGTCCCTTATCGGAGCTAGTGGTATAAGTGAGCCGAGCCGGCTTGTGAGCTGGCTCGAGCTCGACTCGTTTATGTGCTCACGAGCTGAGCTTATCGAGCTCATGAGTCGAGTTCGAACTTGATGAGGCTTGGCTCGAGAGCTCACGAGCTGGCTCGATTCACTACTAATATTTTAAAAATATTATTTTATTTTATTTATTATATTTGAACCCGCCTAATCCCACCTAAAAATTAATACTAAATGTTTTGCTCATCCCGCCGATTCTATTTGAGCCGGCTCGAATTCGAGGCGGGCAGCTCACGAGGCGGATGTGTGGTTGAGGAGGTCGCGTCAACTCATGCCACTTGCCGAGTTCGAGCTCACTTTCCGACTGACGAGCTGAGCTCAATAGTGTCAAAATTCAACTCGTTTACACCCATAATCGGAGCCCTATGAGGTGGCTCTTGATCAAAGAAACTTTCCTCGTCGAACTCCTCTTGTCCGATCTCCTTTCCCTTAGATTCAGCCAAGGGAATCTCGGTCAAATCTTGGTTAGGGTTAGCAATCGGAATCACCGGTGAAGATTTAGATTGCATCTGCATAACTTCCTCATCATCTCCTTCAACCCTTAAAATCAGCTCTCCATCTGATTCTCCATGGTTGAAAACCTTCATTTGATGGTTGAGAACTTCTACTCCATTTTGGATTTAATTTGCTTCACTTCGCCTTCTGACACATCCACCTTCTTTCCGTCCCAAATATTGTCCCATTTTTTGCTCAAATATAATTGTTATATCTTGTGAAAATATAATTTAATTATCTTGCTGTGCCAGTTTGCATTGTTTGGTTTTATGGAGAAAATCTTCTTTTAATGCTTATCTTATGGACTTCTTAACGATGCCACCATCTTGTCCTTAAAACCAAGAATGCTTTTGACAGGGACATAAATCTGATTTGGATTCATCTTCTAGTATGCGTAGCGCTAATGATTCTGGATCTGTCATCTCAAATATGAAATGCATCGTAAATCTAATCAGTGAAAGAGTCATGCAGTTTTCTGAATGTAAAAGACTGATAACTCAAACGTTGCATGTATTACTCTCTGAAAAAGGAACGGATTCAAGTGTGCTGCTATGCATACTGGATGCAATAAAATTCTGGATTGAGGATGATTTCAAGCATGTTTCATCGGGAACTTCAAGCATGTCTCTTGCTTCAAAGGATATTGTTTCCTATTTACAGAAGCTATCACTAGTTGATAGGAGGGACTTCTCGTCAACTACATTGGAAGAATGGGACAAAAAATATCTTGAGCTTATATATGGTTTATGTGCAGATTCAAGCAAGTATAAGTTACAACTTAAATGCTTTTCCCTTTCTAATATGTTTCTTATTTTACCTATTTAGCTTTTATCGTGAGCTTCAACTTAATGGTTACTAGGTATCCTTTGGCACTTCGTCAAGAGGTATTTCAGAAGGTGGAGCGACAATATATGCTGGGCCTAAGAGCGAAGGATCCAGAAATTAGACAGCGGTTCTTCTTACTTTACAACAATTCTTTTGAGAAAACGTTGTTCATCAGACTTCAGTATATTATCCAATTTCAGGACTGGGAAGCCGTGAGTGATGTTTTCTGGTTGAAGCAGGGACTTGATCTTTTGTTGGCAGTCCTGGTGGAAAATGAACCAATCAATCTTGCTCCAAATTCTGCACGAGTGCCACCACTTATGGTATCAGGACCACATCTGGACCGTTCATGTGTTCTGCCACAGGTTTCCGATGCTCCAGATGGCCATGAGAGTGCTCCGCTCACATTTGAATTTCTTCTGACTAAGCATGCTCAGTTTCTAAATGAAATGAGTAAACTTCAGGTAATTTGTCCTCATCTATATATATTTTTTCAGCCTTTCCATTCCAGTATATATATATATATATATTTTGGTTTCAGATATTTTGTAGTGTGATGTATCATTGGGCTTGGGATCTGTTCTGAGAATTTGGTAATAACTTACGTTACTTTCCTTGTCTAGGTTGCCGACCTTGTGATTCCTTTAAGGGAATTAGCGTATGCGGATGCTAATGTTGCATATCATTTATGGGTATTGATTTTCCCAATAGTTTGGGTCACCCTTCAGAAAGATGAGCAAGTTTCTCTGGCTAGACCCATTATATCACTTCTGTCTAAAGACTACCACAAGAAGCAACAAGCAACCAGACCTAATGTTGTGCAGGCACTTCTAGAAGGTATTCATTTGTGTCACCCCCAGCCTCGAATGCCAAGTGAGCTAATCAAATATATTGGGAAGACTTACAATGCCTGGCATATCTCTCTAGCTCTCCTTGAGAGTCATGTCGTGTTGTTCATGAATGAACCAAAATGTTCTGAATCACTTGCCGAGCTTTATCGATTGCTTAATGAAGAAGATATAAGATGTGGATTATGGAAGAGAAGGTCAATTACCGCAGAAACAAGAGCAGGCCTATCTCTAGTCCAGCATGGTTACTGGCAGCATGCTCAAAACCTCTTTTATCAGGCAATGATCAAGGCCACACAGGGTACTTACAACAATACAGTTCCCAAGGCTGAAATGTGTCTTTGGGAAGAACAGTGGCTTTGTTGTGCTAGCCAGCTAAGTCAGTGGGATGCATTGGCAGACTTTGGAAAGAGTGTGGAGAACTATGAAATTCTTTATGACTGCCTTTGGAAGGTTCCAGATTGGGCTTATTTGAAGGATAATGTAATTCCAAAGGCTCAATTAGAAGAGACACCAAAACTTCGTATAGTTCAAGCATTTTTTTCTCTTCATGATAGAAATACAGGCGGTGTTGGAGATGCTGAAGGTACTGTGTCCAAAGGCGTTGAATTGGCACTAGAACAGTGGTGGCAATTGCCTGAGATGTCCGTTCAGTCCCGCACACCACTTTTGCAGCAGTTTCAGCAGCTTGTTGAGGTCCAAGAATCAGCAAGAATTCTACTTGACATTGCTAATGGAAACAAACAAACATCTGGAAATTCTGGTTCTGGTGTTCACAGTGGGTATGCAGAACTCAAAGATATCTTTGAGACTTGGAGGCTTAGAACTCCTAATGAATGGGATAACATGACTGTTTGGTGCGATTTACTTCAATGGAGAAATGAGATATATAATGCTGTAATTGAAGCATTCAAGGACTTCGCATCAACAAATCCACAGCTCCATCATCTTGGTTACCGAGATAAAGCATGGAATGTGAATAAGCTTGCTCACATTGCACGTAAGCATGGCCTGTATGATGTTTGTGTGACAATTCTTGACAAGATGTATGGTCATTCTACCATGGAAGTGCAGGTACTAGTTCTATATTTAATATTTTTCAGTATTTCATGGTACTTTTTAACTTTTAGTGTCTTTGTGCATGTCTTTGTATATTTAAATTTAGATGATAAGCTTTTCTCCTCCTAGGATGGAAGACGTACGTTCTTTTCTCAAGCTCTTTTTTTTGTTCTATTTTGTGGTCTTTAAGCATATAACAATACGTTTCATATTCATCTACAATATGAAAGCTACTTTTTGTTGAGCTTCACCAGTTTTCATGTAGATTTGATCATTCATCATGCATGTAAAAAGAATGAGGTTGATCAAATGACAGGCAAAAGAAAATTTAATTTTCCTATATATTTCGCCAATAAAAACATTCAATGTGTTATGAATATAATGTACTATCCATGTACTAAAGCCCCATGTCAGTCGTGAGATACCCAAGAAATCATAACTTTTTTGTTCGATGCTTTCCTTCGAAAAAACTTTTGATGCGTACAATGGTAACGGTTAAATCTAAGCCTCTCATTCTCATGTTAATCCCACGGCTAAAAGAAGGGATCTATGGGAAGCCCGCCTTAATCACGTTGAACACCTTCCATAGATGAACAACTGATTTAGGAAGAGTTATATTTCATTATTATATAGTTATTTGTTTCCTTATTAAACATCTTGTATAAATCTATAAATAGGGATTGTAATGTATAATAAAATTCAAGCTTTTCCCTCTTATTCCTCTCAAATCCTCGTTTCTAATATGGTATCAGAGTGCCGAAGGAATTGAAGAGGAAATTATTGTGAAGAAGAGTCCTTCATTGCCGTTAAAGAACGATCGTAGATCGTCGAAGGAGGAAAAGAAGAAGAAATTAGAGCCTGCATATGGACGGAGCTTTGCCGACAGATGCCAGATAAAGCCTTGCTGAAGACGGACGCCGCAGACGGAGCCCCCTACGAACTGAAGAAGAAGCTGAAGCCAGGCGAGCTTCCAGGTGTGTGAAACAGAGCCCCGCATGCGGAAAGAGCCAAGCGAATCTCCGCTTAGGCGTATGGGAGGAGCCTTTGCGAATTGAAGAATAAGCCGAAGTCGTGAACCTCCGATCCGACAAGAAGGGAAAGTCGTCGAAGGAGCGTAGTCGAACAACTTTCGATCTGACATGAAGGGAAAGTCGTCGAAGGAGCCTAGTCGAACATACATGAAGGAGCGAAAAAAGTGATGCACCTCCCGCTCGGACAAAGTCGCTTGAAGAGGTTCGCTCAGACGATTCGATCGGAAGCTCCTTCCAATTTTTTCCTGTTCGACTTAGATCCGCATAAACGCCCTCTCGATTATGTGGGATGGGCCGACAACAACAACAAATCTTAAATCAAATTTGAGACCTGATTAAGACCTGATACCAGCCTTTTATTGCTGATATAATCAAATCGGTTGTTATTGTTGTACCATAATGTCTGAAGAAAATTTGTCCCAAAGCATAAACTAAATTTAATAGTCTATGCTCACCAAGGACGAGGTGACCTCCAAAGCATGCAACCTTCCTATCGTCTCAATGGAAAGAACTATCTAAAGTGGTCTCAATTTTTGAAGACCTATTTAAAGGGAAAATGAAAAATACAGCACCTTCTCGGAGGACCAAGAGAAGGAGATCCTAATTTTTGGGCATGAGATGAAGCAGACTCTATGATTATGTCATGGTTGTGGAATTCCATGAGTACTCCAGAAATTAACGATACATTCATGTTCCTTTCCACTGCAAAGGACATACGTGATGCTGCCAGATAGACCTTCTCCAAAGCTCGGGATGCAGCTCAAATCTTTGAAATTAAAGTCAAAGTAGGAAGCACAAAGCAAGGGAGCAAGACCGTGACGAAGTATGACACTCTTCTAAAAAATCTATGGAAAGAACTTGATCACTACAGATGTATAGAAATTACATGTCCGGAAGATGCTGCGATCCTAAAGAACTTTATTGAAAAAGATAGAGTTTATGATTTTCTTGCAGGACTAAATACAGAATTTGATCAGGTTAGAGTCCAGATCCTTAGCAAAGAGGAGACGTCATCCCTTAATGAAACAATTTCTCTCATCTACGCTGAAGAAAGCCGACGAGGAGTGATGTTAGAACCAAAAGTCGTTGAAAGTTTAACAATGGTGATGAATAGAGAATCGTCATGGAAGGAGAAAGGTAAAGATTCCTCAAAATTCAAGGACAAAGACTCACTTTGGTGCAGTTATTGCAAGAAGTCAATACACAAAAAAACGTGCTGAAAAATACATGAAAAATCCCCCAGTAAGGAGTGGAATCAAAGAACTGAAACAAGGAGCACATCACATGCCAACAACACTACAAGTCAGCCCATCCCAAAAGCACAGTCCAACCTTGGAGAACTCAATAAAGAAGACATTGATAATATGAAATGACTCATGGTATCTCTTGAAAAACCAAATGCATCTTCTTCACTTGCACTCTCAGGTAAGTTTCCGATTTTTATTAGTTTAAGTGCTTTTAGAAATCATTTAAAAGAATTATGGATCATTGACTCAAGAGCCATATATCACATGACCCACTCACCTACCCACTTCATCAACTATACTCCTTGCCCAAGCAACAAGAAAATCATCATTATTGATGGTTCTCTTATCACGATAAAAGGCCAAGGAGACATAACATTATCTCCCAGACTCACCCAAAAAAATTTGCTACACGTATCTCAATTATCCACAAATCTAATATCAATACAAAAACTTACCAATGACCATTATTATCAAGCTTTATTTAACCCTACTTATTGCTTATTTCAGGACCAGAGATCAGGGAAGAGGATTGGATTTTCTAAGGAGAAAGTTGGGTTGTACTACCTGGATGAACTAAACCAATCTAAAAATGATGCTTTATGTTACTCCTAGTTGATAAGAATTCTACTATTTGGCTTCATCATTATAGGTTAGGACATCCATCTTTTGATGTATGGATGTCTTAAGACATGTATTCATAACTTTTTCAGAAATTAAAAATAAACATTTTCATTGTGAAACTTATGAGTTAGCCAAACATAAAAGAACTTCCTTCCCAAATAAAAATGAGAGATGTGATATTCCTTTCTATCTTATTCATAGTGATATATGGGGGTTTTAAAAAATCCCCAATATCTCTGGGGCACGCCGGTTTGTATCATTTATTGATGATTGCACTAGTCTCTTGGATCTATCTCCTTAAAAATAAATCTGATGTTAGCACCATTCTTTTCATTTTTCATACCATGATCCAAAATCAAGGGATAAAAATAAAGAGATTTCGCTCCGATAATGCTAAAGACTATTTCAACCAAACCCTTTAATCCTACTTCCAAAGTGAATGGATCATCCATGAGTCCTCCTGCTTTCACACCCCACAACAAAATGGGGTTGCAGAGAGAAAAAATGGTCACCTTCTAGCTTCCAGTTGAGCTTCTATTCCACTACAATACACCCAAATTATGTTGGGGGAAGCCCTCCTAACTGCAACTTATCTCATAAACTGACTACCTTCAATAGCCCTAGTACTCAAAACTCCAATGGAGATTTTGTCCTCATTTTACCCCAAACCCATCATAACCTCACACCGAAAATATTTGGGTGCACTGCCTATGTTCATATTCATAGCTAAATTAGAGAAAAATTATATCCAAGAGCACTCAAATGCATCTTTGTTGACTATTCAGCTACCCAAAAAGGTTACAAGTGTTGTCATCCACTTACAAGAAAAGCCCTTGTCTCTGTTGATGTTAACTTTGACGAACAAAATTTATATTTTTTCAAGCCTCATCTTCAGGGGGAGACTGAACTTGAGGGAGATGATGAAAATGAACTAACACATCTTGACCTTCCTCAACCACCTCAAACCAATCCACCTGAAAACTAGGATAGGGAAACAAAAGACAAAGCTGTCATTAGATTTGGAAAGGTATACTCCAGGCATACAAGTTCAGATTGTGCTCCAAAGCAGATCCAATAATCTAAACCATCTCCTAGAAATAAGATAAGCTTATCACCTCCCTTATACCTTTATAACCAACTCTATATCCTTCAACTTCTCATCCTCACACAAAAATTTCTTGGTTACACTAGAAGATATCTATATTACTAAATACATTTATGAGGCCTTATTTGATGAAAATTGGAAAAATACCATGATAGATGAAATGCAGGCCCTAGAAAAGCAACAGTATGTTGGAGATCATCAATCTACTGACAGGGAAAAAATCGGTTGGCTGCAAATGGGTGTTCTCCATAAATTGCGAAGTTGATGGCACACTAGAAAGATATAAGGAAAGACTAGTCGCAAAATGGTATACTCAAACATATGACATTGACTACCAAGAAACCTTTGCACCTGTAGTCAAGATGAACACTGTCAGAATATTACTCTCACTAGCAAACAGATAGAACTGGCATTTGAAATAATTTGATGTGAAAAATGCATTCTTGCATGGGGATCTGGAAGAAGAGATATTTATGAAAGTACCACCAATGTTTAAGGAAAAATCTGAACGTAACAGTATGTGCAGATTAAAAAAGGCTCTATATGAGTTCAAACAATCACCAAGGGCCTAGCTCAGAAGATTCTCAAATTTATGTTTCTTAATAGGTATAAACAAAGTCAAGGGGATCATACATTATTCTTTAAACACTTCCTGGGGGGGAGTCACAATATTATTAGTATATGTGGATGATATTATCTTGAACGAAGAGGAGAAAATTAGTTTAAGGAAAAGTCTTACTAAAGAATTTGACATCAAAGAATTTGATAGACTAAAATACTTCATCTGAATTGAAGTAGTCCACTCCAGCAAAGGAATCTTCATTTCACAACAAAAATACATTAAAGATCTTCTAAAAGAAACTGGTAAATTAGCTTGTAAACGAGCACCAACATTAGTAGAACCAAATTTTAAACTGGGGGAAGCAAAAGATCTAGATGTAGATAAAGGTCTTGCCAGAGACTTGTAGAGAAATTGATCTACCACTCTCACACCAAACCAGATATAACATTTTCTGTAAGCATGGTAAGTCAGTTTATGCAAAATTCAAAGCAGGCTCATATGCAAACGGTAGACAGGATACTGCACTGCCTTAAAGGAACTCCAGGGAAAGAGATTCTCTTTAGAAGAAATCGCGGAATGACCCTAGAAGCATACATTGATGCTGATTATGCGGGATCACCAGTAGATAGAAGATCTACCTCTTGATATTGCACATTTCTTGGAGGGAACCTAGTTACATGGAGAAGCAAGAAATAGAATTTGGTGGCAACATCCAATGCAGAAGCAAAATATAGAGCTATGTCCTTGGGAATATGTGAGTTATTATGGATCAAGGTGATTTTAAAAGACATAAGGATCAAGTGGGACAACCCCATGAAGCTACACTGCAACAACAAATCGGCAATCAGCATAGCCCACAATCAAGTCCAACATGACAGGACCAAGCACATAGAGGTGGATTGACGTTTTATTAAAGAGACATTAGCAATGATCTAATTTGTATCAACCATATACCATCGAAAGATCAACTCGCAGATATCCTCACCAAAGGATTGGACAGCTCTGCCTTTCTCAGAATGATTGCCAAGCTGGGAATGACGGATCTATACTCCCTAGCTTGATGGGGAGTGTTAAATCTCAACCTCTCATTCTCATGTTATTCCCACGGCTAAAAGAAAGGATCCGTGGGAAGCCCGCCTTAATCACGTTGAACACCTTTCATAGATGGACAAATGATTTAGGAAGAGTTATATTTCATTATTTTGTAGTTATTTGTTTCCTTATTAAACATCTTGTATAGATCTATAAATAGGGATTGTAGTATATAATAAAATTCAAGCTTGTCCCTCTTATTCCTCTCAAATCCTCTTTTCTAACAGTAACCACATTAGCTTTAAAATGAATCATGTTGTAATGCCACAATTTGATAGTTTTAAAAAGGATGGTGTTCCTGATCTACTGTTTCATTCCCATACTTAGTTTTAAATGGAGAAGAATGACATTATCTTATATATATATATATATATATGTGTGTGTGTGTGTGTGTATACACACACACATGATTTGCTGCTTTTATGTATTGCATTCTATTTTTTTAATTTTTCTCTTGCCCTATCATCTTGCAGGAAGCCTTTGTGAAAATAAGAGAACAGGCAAAAGCTTATCTGGAAATGAAAGGAGAACTAAGCAGTGGTCTCAACTTGATCAACAACACTAATCTTGAGTACTTTCCTGTGAAAAACCAAGCAGAAATATTTCGCATCAAAGGAGACTTCTTGCTAAAGATGAATGATTGTGAGAATGCTAATCTTGCATATTCCAATGCTATAACTGTTTTCAAACATTTGCCTAAGGGATGGATAAGTTGGGGCAATTATTGCGATATGGTATATATTGTTCACGCCCTTCTAATTGTTTTTCTTCATATATTCTTGAGAACTCAATGTCTATATCTTGGCAGGTTTATAAGGAAACACACGATGAAATGTGGTTAGAATATGCTGTGAGTTGCTTCTTTCAGGGCATTAAATATGGTGTTTCGAACTCGAGGAGTCATTTAGCTCGCATACTTTACCATCTTAGCTTTGATACAACAAATGAACCTGTTGGAAGAGCTTTTGATAAATACATGGACCAGTTACCACATTGGGTCTGGCTTTCATGGATACCTCAGCTGCTTCTTTCTTTGCAAAGGAGTGAAGCACCGCATTGCAAGCTAGTTCTTTTAAAAATTGCTACTGTGTATCCTCAGGTGTGAATGCATCTCCTACCTTTCATGAAGTTGTTTTTGTTGTTTCATTCCATAAAATTCAAATTTCTTTGGATCTTCTGCAGGCTTTATACTACTGGCTACGTACATATCTCATGGAACGACGGGATGTTGCTAATAAATCTGAATTTGGAAGGAATTCAACATTGGCTCAACAACGCATGCAACAAACCGGTTCAGGGTCCAATGGTATGTCTGATGGAAGTGGAAGAGGTCTGAATCATGTTAGTAGTGGCTTGCCTTCTGAAAGCCATATTCATTCTGGCTCCCAAAATGGAAGTACTTCTGGTTCTCATGATGGAGGAGGTACTCAAGGGCAAGATTCTGAAAAACCAGCTAATGCAGAAGCTGCAGTTAATGCTGGACATGAACAACCTCCACAAGCTGTAGTTCAAGAAAACAACCAACTTCCATTTAGGCGTAATACTGCACTTGGTTGGGCTGCTTCTGCGACCAGTGCATTTGATGCTGCAAAGGACATAATGGAAGCTCTTAGGAACAAGCACCCAAACTTGGCTAGTGAACTTGAGGTAAAAATAACCACCACTGACCCGGGGGGGGGGGGGGGGGGGGGGGGGGGGGGGGGATTTTTTTACCTACTTAATTGGCTAGGAGGTTGGTGAGTGTAGCCAATTGGGCCTTACATTCTCTCATTTTATTTTATTAAGCTATTTTCTTTAATTGTTTATAATTTTATTTTCCCTCCAGAAGAGTCTTTAGAGGTGGCCTTGGTTTATTAAAAAGGAGCTACCTACGCCTCTTATATTCTTTTTTTTTTTTTTTTTTTTGAGAATCAAGAACTTAGAATTTGTTCTAGGTTTCTCTCCTCTTCCAACAACCCACTGTAGGTTGTTCATCCCCTTTCTCCACCGCTCTTTTTCTTCCCCAAGTTCTTAACCTGCTATCTGCCACCCTCCCAACCATCTACGGCTATTGGGCACTTGTTCATCTTCCCTAGGTGTATAACCTATTGTCCACCACCCTCCTAGCCACTACAACTATTGTTCACCGGTTTTCTAGTGATTGCACTGCTTCCTTTATCTCAACCTTTTGGGAATGATTTTGGGTATCATATAATATTAGAGCCTAGAAAAAGCCTCGAAAATGCCGCTAAGAAAATCCAATCTGCAACCAATTCAAGGATCTTTAACTGAAGAATTGTAACAGGAGATTCACCAACTACAAGAACGGTTTGCGGTAATGAAACTGTCATCTGATTAAACGTCGGAATGAGGAAGAACATCTAGAAGAGGAGAAAAATTCATTTCACCAAGAAGCTTCTAGTGAAGAGGAGGAACCACCTGGTCCTTATTATCGGCATAAATCAAGAAGACCCTGTCCCGATTTCGAATTCAATATAAATATTCCGCACTTCGATGGTAAATTTGATCTAAATGAATAACTCAATTGGTTACGTATTTCTCAATGAATTCTTGAATACAAAGGGCATCTCTCGATCGATTGTCAAATTGACATCCATCAAGTTAAAAGATAATGCCTCCTTGAGATGGGAGTATTTGAACCGATCAAGGCAGTGTGAAGAGAGAACTAAGATCAATTTTGGTTTAGAAATGGATAAAGAAATACAACAAAAATTTTTCGAAACATTATCAACAAGATATGTTTATCTAACTACACAATCTCCAACAACAAGAATTCTTGGTAGAATGTTATACTAATGAATTTGAACAATTGAGGTTGAATTGCATCTTGGTGGAACCATAAGAAAATACCACAACTCGGTTTCTTGGAGGGTTGAGCCCATTCATTGCCAATGTGGTGCAACTGTAGCCCTATTGAATGATCGTCGACGTAATCAACCTTGTTGTCAAGGTAGAATAGCAATAGCAAGGGAATAGCAATATAAACTCGTGAACAGTGATAGGCGGACCCCCAATACCAGTTAATGTGATTGGCTGATAGCCATAACTGGCAAGAAACAATGCAGACGAACTATTGGCCCTCCCCACTGGCCCTGACAACCTTCCTTTCTACTCAAGGTGGTTTAAATGCCATGTCTTAGGGAATATTGCATCCAATTGCCCCACGATGATTATTGACCTTATTGGAAGAAGCACCGTTCGAGGCCATTGTTCCAATGGATCAAGAAGCTGACGAGATGGTAGAAGTACAACTTCTGCCTGTTGATGAAGGTGAATTGTTGGTGGTTTGCCGCTTTTGAATATCCAATATGAGAAGGAGAACAAATGGTTTCATCATAGCATATTCAGAATAAGATGCACCGCCCATAATAAGGTGTGAAATTTGGTGATAGACATGGGGGGAGCAGCAAAAATGTGGTATGCACCCTCATGGTGGAAAAATTGAACCTTCCCATCATTCCGCATCCAAGACCTACTAGCTTTCTTGGCTCAAGAAGGGAAGCAAAATCATTGTAAGCAAGCAATTCTTAGTGCAATTTTCAATTGGAGGAAGATTTTAAGAGTAAGTTCTTTGTGATGTCATTTCCATGGATGCTTGCTATCTTTTTCTTGGAAGGCCATGGCAATATGATCGCGGGACCAAGCGCGATGTTTCCTTCCACAAAGAAGGGAAATTGGTGTGTTCATACCTTTAAAAATTTGGATGAACCCATTGCTCACCCCAAAGTAAGTGGTGCCCCAGTCGCTCTTCATGCAGACATGCAAAAGAGCTAACTACAGGTTGGCCTTGGTAGTATTTGAATCCAATCGGGAGTAGTTCCAACTGGCGGCCATTTTCTAAGATCTCCTCCAATTGTTTATGAATATATTTTTAGAATTTATGCCCGTGAGACTTTCCATTGAAGGAAATATACCTTAGTATTGACTACATTCCAGGATTAGTCATTCCAAACAGCCTTGCATACTAGATGGCCCTAAAGGAGTACACTCCGAACTACAGTACCATAGTATTGACTGCCAATATGCATCCGCCAGGATTAGTCATTCCAAACAGCCTTGCATACTGGGCCACATGGGTTGGTGCTCAGCCATACTGGGCCACATTGGGATGACTGCCAATATGCATCTTATATGTACCTACCATTTTCCTTGTGGTATTATCTCTTAGTGTCACTTTATATCCATTCCTGACTTCCAGCGATATGAATTTTATTATGTCTTCCATCATATACTTTGAGCATTCACTGTCCCTAAACCCTAAACCCTAAACCCTAAACTATATACAAGTTTATACACGATATATATAAGCATTTTATGCACTATAAATAAGAATTATACACACTATGTGTAAGTTTAGGGTTTAGGGTTTAGGGACAGTGTGGCTGAGCACCAACCCATGCATAGTACCCTCCCTTCTCATGCCAAAAAAGGATGGAACTTGGCGGATGCATATTGGCAGTCATCCCATAAATAAAATTACTATCAGATACTGATTCCCCTTCTTGCTGTTAGACGACCTATTTGATTAATCACATATTGAGACTTAATTTTCAAAAAGCGATACAAGGACCAGATATCATTAGATATAAATGCGACATAGAGATAAATGTAAAAGTGCATTCAAAACCCGCAAATGTCTATATGAATGGACCATCATGCCTTTTAAGCTCTCTAATGTGCCCAACACCTTTGTGTATTTAATGAATTGGATCTTTTAACTCTTCTTGGATAAGTTTATCGTTATTTATTTTGATGACATTCTTATTTATAGCAAGAACATGGAGGAACACCTATAGCATCTCTAACCAGTGTTTGAGATACTCCATGAACAACAATTGTTTACTAACCCCTCTAAATGTCAATATTTGACAACTATAATTAGAATCTTGGGCTATGTGATCTTTGTAGTCGGAATTGAGATGGACCCTGCAAAGATCAAGACCATCTTCGAGTGGCCAATGCTACAATCCATGACTGAGATCCAACGATTTCATGAGTTGGCCTTTTTTTATTAACTTTTAATTAGAAACTTTATCAAGTTGGCTGCTGTGAGATCTCGTTCCCTTATTGTTCCTCTCTGAATTGGATTTTCCTCCCAGGATCGGCCGGGACGATGTTGAGATCGTCCAGGCCGATCAGTGCATTGAAAACAGCTGATTTCTGGAGTGTTTCTGGAATGATTTCTGGACTGGATCGTCCAGGACGATTTTGGATCGTCCTGGGACGATTAGTTTATGGCAAAATCCCGAGAGCAAGGGGTTTTGGCAAATTAATTATCGTCCTGTATCGTCCTGCAAAATCGTCCAGTACGATTGGAAATTGGTCACATCGTCCTGGACGATGTCGCGATCGGCCAGGACGATCAGACTAAGGTTATATGGAAATCAACTCGTTCTAAGGAGAGAGAAATCATTTTTATAAATCAGAAATATCTGAGGAGAGAGAAAGAGAAGAAAGTTAAAGGAATCTTGGGTTTCGGGAGCCGCGGAGTGCTTTTGTCTGACGCCGCTGTGGGAGAAGTGTAGATCTCGTGGTAAGGCTCCGAATCCTATTTCTGTTTTCAAAAGATATTTGTGATTTGATCGTGTTGTGTACGGTTTGTGTTTTTGTTATCGAAAAATTGACCTGATTTGGTATTGACACAACTTTCACCGCACAACTTTTAGTATGTTATATATATGAATATTGTACACGATTTGAGTATATTCTGCGATGATTTTACCGGTCGGAATTGATTCTACGCGATTTTAATTGAATAGAAAAATATCATGATGTTATTTGATGTGGATTCAGTAGAATTAATAGTCCTTATATTGATGTTGTGAACATTCTATTGTAATTTGGTGAATTGTGATTTTGTAGGATTTTTGTGTAAATTTGATAGACTGCCGTTACTCTGCCCGATTTTCGTATGATTTCTGATTTGTCTGAGATTGATAGATTGAATAGATATGAATGTGAATATTGATATGATTGCTTTAATATTGATTATTGAATTGAATATTGAATTGACTATTGAATACTGGACACAAGTGGAACTGGTTGAATGTTGGTTGGAGATTGATTGACCTGTACAGGATGGTGGGCCGACGGGCTTTCCTTTAAATATTGATTATGGATATATGGATGGGAGTCATAAGGAGTTCTTATAGATATGCCGACGGGCGACCGACGGGCAATAGAGTGATGACTCTTTTTATTGAAACCAACGTATGGATATCTACAACAGCAATATGGATTCTACAACAGCAACATAGCCAGTTGATTGTACTTGTCCAGTATTATCGTATTGACTGCATGTTTACTGTATTGACTTACGGATTTATTGCTTTATCGATTTCTGCTTTATTGATTTGATCGGATTTACTGTATCGTATGATTTTGTTGATTTCATCGATTGATTGCCGAGCATTGATACTATTGAGCATTGCTATGGATATGGATGGATATAGATATTGTATTGATTCATTGATGCTATGGATATGGATATTATAGATTTATTGATACTGCTTATAGACTCATTGATACTATTGCTTCTGCACCATATTAGCCTGCTGCATTTGATTCATTGCTAGTATAGATTGAGCTTTATTGTACTGCTTTTCTAATCGATTTCATTGACTTGATTTGATCGATTGATTCGATACGATTGATTTGACTGATCGACGGATTCTTTTGAGATTTGACGTACTGATTGATTGAGTTTGATTTCATCGACTATTGATTGCATTGACTATGGATTTCCGTATTGCATAGACTCATTGACCATTGACTGTTATGGATTTGATTGACTGACATGCATATTGATAGCGTCGCCGTGCTTTGATTTCAGTTGTAGGCTTTGGTGACCTGCTGGGCTATTTAAGCTCATTATATGTGGTTAAAAATTTCAGGTCCGAGCAAGACAACTGGAATGGAGTTCGATCAGAATGTCAGACGAATCCTTTCACTATGGATGCCTGGGGCGTCACAGCTGCTCCTATGATCAAGCTCCTCAAAAGATCTAATTGGAGCTGGATTGATGCCACAACGCTGATTTGAGCAATTAACAGCCACTTACATCCACCTCACTTTTAGCCCCTTTGGATTTCAACCAATGTTTTGAAGTTGATTACGATGCCTTTAACATAGGCATTGGGGTCGTGTTGCATTAAGGGGTCTCCTAGTGACTTACTTTAGTGAAAAACTCAATGAGACACATCAAAGGTATTCTACTTATGATAAGGAGTTTATGCTCTTACGGGCATTATAATATTGGAGCCACTACCAACTAACTAACACAAGAGTTTGTATTCCCTGATCATGAGGCCCTTAAGCACCTACATCATCATAGTAAGTTGGAAGGAATGCATGCCAAATGGATGGAGTACTTATCCTCCTTCCATTACTCACTCAGGCAGAAGTCTTACCGGTCCATGCAAGTGGTCGATGCATTGGGTTAACGGCTGAGTTGATCAAGACATTACAATTCAAGCCGATGGGCTTTGAAGCCATACATGATTTATATGCCCATGATCAAGATTTTCAAAAATAAATCTTGAAGATGTGCCAAAAAAGATCATGTAAACTCTTCCATATTGAGCATGGATATTTCTTTTTTTGGTAACAAACTTTGTGTGCCATCTTGTTCTTTTTAAAAGAAATATCCATGCTAATCCCCCATCTTGTTCATCCTTTGTGAGAATCATGATGGGAGATTAGTAGGATATTTTGGCAGAGACAAGACATTGCCCCTTGCCCAAGAGCGATTCTATTGGAATTTGCTTACTTGCGACGTGGACTGTTATGTGAAAAGATGTAGAATTTGTTGGCTAACCAAAACTCGCCAACAAAATTTTGGCCTATACATGCCATTACCTATACTAGTCGAACCTTGGACCGATGTTAGTATGGATTTCGTTGTTGGGCTTCTTGCAACACGTTTGTATAAGGACTCCGTTATGGTCATTGTTGACCGATTTTCAAGTATGCCACATTTTATGCATTGCTAGAAGATGTTGGATGCTACGAATTTAGTCAATCTTTATTTTCAAGAGGTCGTCAGATTGCTTGGCATATCCAAAACGATTACATCCGATCGAGATGTTAAGTCCCTTAGCCATTTTTGGAGGACTTTATGGGGTTCTTGGTGCTAAATTACAGTTCAGCTCCACCGCACATCCTCAAATAGATGGACAAATGGAGTTCGTCAATCGGAGCAAAAACATTCAACAATGGGGACTGATCTTATCTCAAGTAAAATATACTTACAATGCTTCCTACCGCCAAACAATAGACCGCAGTCCATTTTAGGTGGTTTATGGGAGAAATCCACCCCTTCCATAGAGTTGATTCCACCCATTGCCCTTACGAAGTGTAACACCGATGCGGAACTCAACATTTAAGGAATTTGAATGCTTCACAAACAAGTAAAAGAACAAATCAAAAAATAAAATGTAAGGAACCAAGCACTAGCCAACAAATGTAGGAAGCATCGCACCTTCAAAGAAGGGGATTTTGTCTGGCTCAAGTTACTAAAGAAATGGTTTCCCCGACTGCTCATGGAAAATTAAAGTCCATGGCCGATGGTCCTTTTTGTATCGTCAGTGCATCAATGACAATACCTACCAATTGGAATTACCTAGCAAATATCAAGTATACGCCACCATCAACGTATCCGACTTAACCCCTTGAAGATTCGTTGGCTTTAGAGATTATGTCGAAGCCTCTTCAAGCCAAAGAGAATGATGTGGGGGCTAGGCATAGATTGGTTCAACCAATTGGATCTTACCTGCTTTGATTTTATTTATTTTATAGTTTTTTTTTTAATTGTTTAAAATTTTGTTTACCCTCCAAAAAGATATTTAAGGGTAGCCTTGACTTATAAATAAGGAGCTACCTACACCTCTTGTGTTGAATTTTTTTGAGAAATCAAGAAGTAAGAAATCTGTTCCAGATTTATCTCCTCATTGTATCTTGGCCGAGCGAGGTGGTGGACCCATTTTCTCCCAACAGCCCACGGTAGGCTGTCCATTCCCTTTCCCTACTCTTCTTCTTTATCCAGAGGTGTTTAACCTGCTGTCCACCACCCTCCCAACCATCTACAGCAGCTTTTCACCCGCTGTCCAGCGCCTACTTCCGGGAGTGATTTCCGGTATCAACTCCCATAACAATAGCCCTCCCCGCACACTCACACATGGAAATCATTCCACCACCTGTAGATAATGAAAAGTTAAATAGAATTGCTTCGAATGTATTTTGATGTACTTTCGGTTCCCAACTTATTATTTTTATTGAACTTTTTTTTTTTTTTTTTGAGAGTTCCTACTATGGATTTTAAACATCAAATGCTAAATTGATACTGAAAAATGTTAATGAGATTGTATCTGATGATAAATACTTATAAATTAAATCATTTCCTCTACTACAACTAGGTGAGTTGTTGAATTTTCAGGCACTGCTATCAGAAATAGGCTCAAGATTTGTTACTCTTCCTGAGGAGCGGCTTCTTGCTGTTGTTAATGCATTACTTCATCGTTGCTATAAGTATCCAACTGCTACTACTGCTGAGGTTCCACAATCTCTTAAAAAGGAGCTATCTGGAGTTTGTAGGGCTTGCTTCTCTGCAGATGCTGTGAACAAGCATGTTGATTTTGTGAGGGAATATAAACAGGATTTTGAACGTGATCTGGATCCTGAGAGCACGAACACATTTCCGGCTACCCTTTTAGAATTAACCGATAAGCTGAAGCACTGGAAAAATATTCTCCAAAGCAATCTTGAGGATAGGTTTCCTGCCGTTTTAAAATTAGAGGAAGAGAGTAAAGTATTGCGGGACTTTCATGTTGTTGAAGTGGAGGTTCCTGGACAGTATTTTACTGATCAGGTTGGTTTGTAGTTCTAATGAATTTGAGTATTTTGAGTATTTGACTAAACATTCTGCTTTCATTTGATAGTTCTTGATTTTTGTATCCTACTAAGCATTTTCAAATCATTTTTTGGGAAAAAAAATGAAATCTAGGAAGTCGCACCTGATCATACAATAAAGTTGGACAGAATTGGGGCGGACATTCCTATTGTTAGGAGGCATGGTAGCAGTTTCCGGCGCCTCACACTTATTGGGTCTGATGGTTCCCAGCGCCATTTCATTGTTCAGACATCTCTTACTCCTAATGCCAGAAGTGATGAACGCATTCTTCAGCTCTTCCGAGTATTGAATAGGATGTTTGACAAGAATAAAGAATCAAGGCGGCGCCATCTAACAATTCATACCCCAATTATAATACCTGTTTGGTCACAGGTGAAAATCATCTTCCTTTTTTTTTGTTTTTTGTTTACCAATTTCCTTTCATAGCTATCCACTGTTCTCCATCATTGCAAGCTATGAAATTTTATGTTTTAATTTTTTTCTTACTTTCAACATTATTGTTTTTCGTAAGGTTCGAATGGTAGAGGATGACGTTATGTATAGCACATTTCTTGAGGTCTATGAGATCAACTGTGCGCGGAACAATCGAGAGGCGGATTTGCCAATCACTGATTTCAAGAAAAAACTCAATCAGGCTATCTCTGGACAGATATCACCTGAGGGAGTAGTTGAACTACGCTTGCAGGCATATCTTGAGATCACAAGAACTGGGGTGAATGATAACATCTTTTCCCAGTACATGTACAAGACAATCCCAAATGGTAACCATCTTTGGGCCTTCAAGAAGCAATTTGCCGTTCAGCTAGCACTTTCATGCTTTATGTCATACATGTTGCAAATTGGGGGTCGTTCTCCGAATAAGACTCTATTTGCGAAGAACACTGGAAAGATTTTTCAAACCGATTTTCACCCTGGTAATGTGATTTTTTTTTCCTTTTACTGAAATCATATGTAAATAGTGTTCTTTGCTAAGATCCATTTTGCCCATGGATTTCTGCAGCTTATGATTCAAATGGAATGATTGAGTTCAATGAACCAGTACCTTTTCGCTTGACTCGCAATATGCAGTCTTTCTTCTCAAATTTTGGAGTTGAAGGTCTCATTGTATCTGCTATGTGTTCTGCTGCACAAGCTGTTTCTTCACCCAAGGTTAGCTTCTTTTGTTTTGCTTTGGCATACAAATGACGCAGTTTTAGCCAAGTTGAGTGAGCAAGGATGCTTCCTTATGCAAGGAAACCGCTCACCCTAAATATATAGTGGAATCTTGATTAGTGAAAACTTTCAGATATCTCCACATTTGGAAAAATTATTACGTGCGGGTCCGGAGACGTCTGGAGATCAATAAAAATGTGTGCCTTGTCACCCCAAAAATGTACCGCGCTCGGTACCGCTTGGTACCGATCACGGAATCGGACGGTTCTCCTGTCCGGTGTCCACACACAATAATCTCTCCCACATTTGAAACTTCTAAATGTTAGTTCTATCTTAAAACAGCAAAAAATTCATATCTTCTATGACATACTAACGACACAGGGAAATGTTTAAGCTGACCAAATTCCTTAGTAACATTTATGTGCTCATCTTCTCACTATAGCAATCAAGCTGAAGTGCGTTTGTTTTGTTCTATTGTAGCAAAGCCAGCACATTTGGTATCAACTTGCCATGTTTTTCCGTGACGAACTCCTTTCTTGGTCTTGGAGACGGCCCCTTGGCTTGAATTCGGCCCCTGCTACTTCTGGAGGAATCAATCCTTTGGACTTCGAGCTGAAGATTACGAGTAATGTGGAGCATGTCATAGAACGTATCAAAGGGATAGCACCACATCCCTCTTCAGATGAGGTACGCACTTTTTAGTTCACAAATTTCTTCTTTCATTCTGCTTGAGACGATTGCAAGAATTGTGTCAGTGTAAATTAGTTTCTGTTATTGTCGTGACTGGATATGTTGTTCAATATGTTACTCTTAGATATGTACAACAACAACAACATCATCAACAACATCAAGCCTTTGTCCACTACGTGGGGTCGGCTACATGAATCTTTTTTCTTCATAAAGGATTCATGTCATGATTATTCGACAAATTTTACGCTGACTGTCGACTACCTAACGTAACTCTCCACTTTTCTCATTCAGAACTTCATAACTGCAACCCTCCACTCTTCTATAGGTACACCATATGAAAATTATGGAGCATTATATATATATATATATATAAAGCAATGAAAGCTGACTTTGGATTAAGAAAGATAACCTCAAGCAGTTGTAACAGGGTTAGCTCCATGATAATGATGACTTGCTGCAGTTAAGGGGAGTGATTCAGTCCGGATTGGAGAAACAAATGAAAGCAAATACATATAACATCAAATTGGTCACATAAAACGTCGGCCTGTTATGATCTGATTAGGAGAATAGATATATTAAAATATGGCCTATATTAATAAAGTTAAAGGTAGAATTAAAAAGATTTAGTTAGAAATATTAGAGATGATTTTTTTTTATTAGATTTAAATGATAATTTGATTCTTAATAGGACAGTGAAGAAAAACATTCACGTAGCTGACTCAACGTAGATGGGATAACGATTAACGACTTGATGTTATTGTTGTTGTTGTTGTTTACCTATCCTGTCGTATTTATTTATCTATAATGTATATTTTAATTTAATAATATCTTTGATATAATTTAAATACTTTGATGTTATATAAATATAAATATTTATGCATTCAATATGTAAATTTATAAAAATTGTGTGGTATATATGTAAATTCCTTTCAACTAAATTGATTTTTCAGGAGGAAAATACAACTGACCCACCTCAGTCTGTGCAAAGAGGAGTCACAGATCTAGTTGAAGCCGCCTTGAACCCAAAGAATCTGTGCATGATGGATCCAACTTGGCATCCCTGGTTTTAAGTAAGCGTTTCCAAACATGTCTCTCTTGTGAAGCTTCTGACACGCAGTTGATGAGCAGAAAATGTTTTTATTTTCTCTGTACAAATGGATCTGTTGCATGCTTAAACTGCTCATTGGCTTGTAATGTGAAAGAATGCTCATTTTAGTGGTGAAATATATAAAATACGAGAAGAGCTTGGGATGGACTCTTTTTTTTTTTCTTGGTATTTTTTATGTTCTTCATGGCCAATGAAAGAGAAGCATAATAAAAGTGTTGCAAAGATGAGGATGCTCAGAGGTGGATGAGTGGATTTACTCTTAGAGATAGGATACGAAATGAGCATATACGTGAAAAGGTTGGAGTAGCTCCAGTGGCTTAGGTGGTTTAGTCACATAAAATGACAGTCATTTGATGACCCGGTTAGGAAAGTTGAGGTATTAGATTTGACTTATATTAAGAAAGGTAGGAGGTAGACCTAAAAAGGCTTGGTTAGAAAATATTTGTAATGATATTTCTTTATTAGATTTAAATGAGAATTTGACTTTTAACAGGACAATGGAGAAAAAAGATTTATGTAGTTGACCTCACGTAATGGTACAAATGTTTGATGATGTTGTTGTTGTATTTATTTTGGATCAAATTGCTGAGATTTTTTCAATTTATTTGGTTGCTTTTTTAGATAGAAAGCATGTTTTGAAAATTGTTGATTTTCTTTTCATTTATTTTGTGGATTTAAAATTAAAATGTTTTTTTTTTTCATTGGAAATTTTTGGGGTTATGTGAGCTAGACATTTAATATTGGAATTTGGATTAATATTTTTATTAATTTTGTATGAGTTTTATTTATGGAATGAAATAATCTGGCCTGGAAAAGAGAGGACTTGAAACTAGTATAAAATAATTTGAGAATTTTATGAGATGTCTAAAAATAGTATAAAATAAATCTAAGAATGCCAAACTAATACCACATAAATCCTATCTAAAAAGGGATTTTTGGCTTAACTCATTTAAGACAAATTATGAAGATTAATTAATGTCTAGATGTAGTTAAACAATATTTAAGGAGATTAGACTAGGAGAGACCTTTGGGCATAAATCCTTAGTATTTTAACAATTTGATTTATTGAGTTAAATAAATTTAAAAAAAAAATTAGGAAGAAAAAGGCTCAATAAAGGGAGGAGACTTATAAAGTTAAAATTAATTACATTAACCTTGAATCCCAAATCAAAGCTCAAAATCATTATTTAGGTAGTAACTCAAATCTAAATATAATAAAACCTTAAGAAAGACTAAGAAATATGGACACTTATTTTATAATCATGTATGGAAAGGATTATCTATTAAATCTCTCTTTAAGTGATTCAAAAATCATGATAAAATATTCTCTATACAAATACAATATATAGTAGTCCATTTCAAATTTAAGAACAAGATCTTATGCCTAACCACTAAAGGTAAGTAGTGATCTATGTATGTTAATACAAAGTCATTAATAAAGGTTCCTTGTTCTCATAATGAATAAATATTGAGTGGGGACCATGTCATCTAAGATGCTTCAGACAAGTGATAAAGACTCACTATCCATCACTGTTTGTTCGGGTGATGAAGAGTCGACTGGGCAAAGCTCAGGTCTCTGGTTAGAATCCTTTGTCAAGCAGTGAAAGTCTTAAGTGTTGGCCCGTGTAAATTAGTGTGGGTTACATGTTAGGTCGACTGGAATTTTCACTAGCTTAAATACAGTGCTTCCGCGTAACAATAAATAAATAAATAAATAAAGACTCGCCCTCCCATATTTAACAAAAAAATTGTTTCACATGGTGATTTACACACTTCACACTTCAGTAAAATGGTATCTCACAATATCCATAGGTAAAATAAATGATTTTTATAAATATTATGGGGTCCACTAGATCACCTAAAATTGGCTGAGGTAAATTTAAGGACAAAAAGACCATTGTTTAGGGGTTAAATGATGAGATCTATTGAAATAGGGTGGTTTGCATATGAATTTCAAAGTCTTGATGATAAATCAACTGCATAGGTACATCATCAGATTATCCAAAGCTGAACCAAAAGACATGGTGTCATGCTAATAAATATACTCAGGCTCTTTCATTGCAAACTTCCCAATAAAACTAAATTGCTAAAGGACTACTATATATAATCTTATATTTCTAATAAAAAATTAGTTTAAATTCAATTTTAAATATTTTTATTATTTTTTAAAAGATGAAAGTAATATATTAATAATCAATTAAAATTTATATTAAATTTTAAATTTAAGAGTCATTTTGTTTGTTGAAAAAATAATGCATGATAAATATAATGATTTAATGCAATGTAAAATAAATGTAGTATATTTAAAACATTCAACAACAACTGGCGGCATCCAACAACTATCTGTGGTTAGCAATGAAGGTAATCAATGGCCACGTCCGAGGAAGCTATAATTGGAGCTAACAATGGTGGACGAGCGAAAGGCCGACACCGCTCATAGCAATGTCCGACAATGGGTAGCGAATGCAAAAAATGCTATCAACTTGCGATGAAAAAACAATTCGTATAAAACTAGATGAGTTTACAATACATCAAGAATTAGAGAGTGAAAAAAGAATCTCTCTAGAACTTCACATTATAATCCTTGTTTAGGAAACCACAAACAACATCAATAACAATATTGAGTCTTTATCCCACTACTTGAGATCTTCTTTAACAAACCAAATACTCAAAATTTGATTTCCCCTATATTTAAAATACTTCGCATTCCTTTTTCTACAAACCAAATAACCCTTCAATAAAATTAAACTTCTTCATGCTGAAAATTTTAAATAATTATGTTCTAAGTAATTAATTTTTATGTTTCAAGAACAGGAATCTGGAGATTGACAATCAGCTATTCATTAATTTGCTGGAATAAACTTTACAATTATCATCAATCTATTAATCAGTGCAAGTAATTTACAATGTTATTCAAAGTAAGCTTACAAGAGCCAAACCTCAGTCAATGAAAGCGCTTATCTTCTGAGGAAGATGGCCAAGCAATCAGGTCCAAACCTTCATGACTTTACTCAAAGGGCCTCTGCTATATGTCTTGAATGAAACCTGGGAGGCAAAGAGACAAACAGGTAAAGCTTTCTTCTGTGAATGATTGCTTTCTAACCCAGCTTCAGGCAGTGCTAATAATCCTATTCACATCATCAAACAAAACAAAATTTCGATCACAGCAAGAAGAAGATCAAAAGTGCAGAAAGTTGTGTATCAAGAAAATCAATTGATGGTTCAGGAATGTTACCTTAAGGGATGCTTTGAATGCCTGTTGATGTCATGTGGACAGGCCAGTATAATGACTGCATGAAAATGGAAAATGGTGTAAGCCATGAGAAGAGAGATTTGTGTACTGCCAATATTAGGGGGGTGGCTGGGAGGAGAGATTATTCTGTGCGGAAATCGGACGGAGAGAACCGTCCGAATTTGATGCGCTTTTGTTATCCTTTTGCAAAGGGGCAGTAGAAGGACGGCAAATATTCAATTACGAATGTGTTTTTACTGTCATTTTGCTACCTTTTTGCAAAAGAGGGATAAAGTGCAACAAATATTCAATTATTTAGTAAACATTATATATTTGCTACCCTTCTGCAAAAGCGCAGCAAATCCGAACGGTACTCTCCGCCCGGTCTCCGCATAGAATAATTAGCCGGGAGGGAGGAAGCACAATGATGGAAGGAAAAAAAATTGCATCTGAGTTCGTGGTACCTGATCAAATTTTGGTAAGATGGGTCCTAAAGGAGTTGGATTAGCTTTGAGATGCATGTAATATATAAAAAATCAATCAAAAATTTATATTACATTCATCTAAAAGCAAATCCAACTATAGGATTTAAGCTTCATTTGGGACAATTTTTTACCACGGTTTTTTTTTTCTTTCAAAAATTTTTTTAACTAAAAAACTGCTTTAAAAAAAAATCCAGAACAAAGCCTCATTTAGGATAAAACTGGAGCGCTTTTTTCCATCATATCAAGCATGAGAATTTTTTCTTGAAGATGAAAAAGGAATTTGAATTCATTTTCTGTTACAAACTGCGATTATTTTTCCCAAGAAAAAAATACATACCGGTACTAAGGACATCTGCTGTCAGGAGAAGGAGCAACATATGCAGGACACCTTTCCAGTGCAGCATCACGAGAAGATTGCATCTCGGGAGAATTCTCTGAATGTGGATGGATAACTTCTGTCCCAGAAGATAAATATCTCTCAGCTCTCGCTTTCTCAGAATAAATGGAGGCTTTCAATATCGTTTGTGTTGTTTCATTAGAAGCTCCAGTATCAGGCTGTATGATTTAGAAGGAGAGTAAATCAGCTGCAAAGTATAATGAATGCTGAAGTTAAGGTTTCGTTTGGGACGGCTTTCTTACTGTTTCTTAAAGTAATTTTCTAGTGCAAAAATTTTAATCTTTATACTAAAAAGCTATTTTAGAAAGCAGCAAAAAAGCCGTCCCAAACGAAGTCTAAGATACAGTGTGGTGGAGAAATTGATTCTGTACGTTACACAAGTCTTTGATGTGGACAACAATAACTGTGATATCATCGGTTCGGCTTTCATGCTCCAACCATAACTTGTATGCTTCTGCGGCAAGTGCAGAGCAAGCATCGCGTGGATCCTTGAAGCTACTTACCTAAACAAAATTTAATTTTGTTAAACATCATCGAGACAATCATATAATCAGATATTATTATATTATAAGAGCAAAATGAATAAGATGACTGTAATCAGGGTTCAATATGAAAAGCTTCTTCCCTCATTTTCACCCTAACAGTGCAAGAATCTATTGTTCTTAGACTTGTAATGGTTAGTCAGAATCGTAAAATGGTTGCTCTCTCTCTCTCTCTCTCTCTCTCTCTCTCTCTCTCTCTTGTTAGGAGTGCATGCCAGACAGATCCTTCACACATGCCGGTTAATTTTTTATGATTCCTAGCAATCTGATATGAACCTTCCTGTAGAAATGCAAAAGAATAGACAGAGGACAAGACAACTAGGCAATTTTAACTTTGCCCAAGCTCATAGAAGGAGCTATTATTCTGTGCGGACACCGGATGGAAGACTGTCCGGTTACGTGCTCAGTACTGAGCAGTATCGAGCGTGGGTAACGACAGCGGTACATTTTTGGAGTGACGTGGTGTGTTTTTATTGGTCTCCGGACGCTCCGGACTCCGCACAGAATAAAAATTCCAGAAGAACAGAGGGGAAAGAGCAAGAATAATTGTAGAGAGAATGAAGAGAGAAAACTAGTATTTATTCAACTCTCCCCATAATTCATCCTTAATAGGACTTTTATGGAATACAAGACCAACTAATTCATTACAATTAACTCGTAACAAATTAACTACTCTTATTAACCTAATAAAAGAACTAATCGTCTCACATTCTTATGTAACCCTTCAAAATAACCTTGCTCTCAAGGTTGAGCAAGTCATCAAAAGAACTCAATGGTAAATCACACGTGTACCTCTGGCTGAGGCGAAGTTCGGACGTGTTGACGTGATGTAGATCTGGCCAGGGTGTTGTGGGAAATCAACGGTGAGGCATTAGCAAAGGTTTGGAGGCCCAATTTTTAGGGACAACGACTATGAGAAGGTTGTGATTTGGGAGAGACCAAGGGAGGCATCGCCGCTAGATCTAGTTTTGGCCGAAGTGAAAGGTTGGAAAATGGCTATCTATGGTGATAAGTTTGACGTGAGGTGGGAGGAGATGGTGTGGATGGGCCAGACTTGATAGAGACACAATGATGGATCTAGCTGCACGAGAAGGAGAAGCCATTAAAAGTCATGGCGATGGTTGTTGAAATGGATCTTGGCGATGGAGGCTTTGAGGTGCAAGTTCCGGTCAACGAAGTAAATGAATAGGATCTTGGTCAACAATGTGACAGAAGAGGAGGCGCGGTGATGAGGACATCCGACCTTAGAGAGTTTACCAAAGGCGGGACCGAAGAGCTATGGCCACGATCGCACCAATTTATTTTTGAGTTATTATATGTATTTGATTTGGTTATGTATTCTTTTCGTTTCTATCCTTGAGGGATTAGTTGTGTTTGTGACCCTTAAAGCATTTGTGTCTTTTATTTCTTCATTGTAAATTTTAGCTATTTATATACCCTCCTCTTTGGAGAGGGTACTGAAGATTATAATGAAAATTTCAGCAATTGTCTCTTGGGTGTTTGAGAGAGAGCTTTGGTAAGAACCCTAGGGAAGGGTGACGGATCACCCATCAGCTGTAGGAACCGTCCGGGCTTGTGGTTCATTTTCTTTTCTCTAAATTCCTCTTCTACTTCTCCATTGACCGCCGGCCACACCTCCTCCATAGCCGCCGGCCAAGTAGCCCCACCTCCCCTCCCTCTAACCGCCGGCCCCCGAAAGCCCTCATCCCTAATTGTCGGCTAAGCCGACCCCAAACCCCACCGTAACCTAACCCTAACCCTAATTCTAGCCGCCAGCCATCCTAACCCTAAATCCAATCCTCTTTGCCCCCAAAATTCAATTCCTCCATTTAACACTTTCCATTTATGAGAAATCTTAAATTAGGAAAGTTTTCAAAATTCGAATTTAAATTAATTTGATTTTGAAATCCTTTCCTAAAATAGGATAACTTATGTTAGGAAACTTTCCTTTTATCCTCACAATCAAATCTCATTAGAGATCTCTCATGATTTTCCTTTCCTTCTTTATTATTCAAGTTTGGAAACTCATTAAATCCTCCCCCATCATCTCCCCACCCCTTACTGGCCGGCCTACCCTCTCTCTCCTCCCTTAATTGCTTGCATCTAATGTTCCTAATTCAAATTCAAACCTAAAATTAAATCTTTCCCACCTTTTCCCCCAAAATCTGATCCTTATTTCCCTATCCCTCTCCTCCCTAAGTAATCCTACTGCACCGGAGTTTGCTGCCCAGATTTCTGCAATAAACAAATTGCTGTCAAGATTTTTTGCTTGAAAATCTCCTCCTGCTGTCCAGAAATTTCAGCAATTTCTTTGCTGTCCTGCAAGAAGATCTTGCAGCCTACGCTAACCATTCAAAAACTTCTCTTCCGTTAACCACACAGAATAATCTCATATACACACCCACCATCCAAAACATTCAAGAACTCAAACCCACCATTTGCTTTCACTAATCCATCCAAGCATGTCATTCTTACCACATTCAACAATTAGTGATTTCTTTGTCACTAACACTAAAATCAATATGGCTTAGCCTGTATAATTCATTTTGAAAATTTTATTTGTAAAAACACAATATTATCTTATTGACTATTAATCTTGAAACATTTTGATTTTGACCCCCAATCTTAGCTCTAGAAATTTTATCCTCAAATCTCCATTTTTTATAATATATCCAAGATATTTAAATGAATCACACCCAAGTATCATATGTTACAATCTTGTGCCCACCTTATTATTATTAAAGGTATTCAGAATAGCCCACCTTACTATTATTAAAGGTCTGCAGAATATGTTTCTATCTTTTAAGAAAAGGAGAAAAATATATCTTATACAGCATTGACTGATAACCATCAATCCCACACCACTAAGCATACAATGTATATTAAAGGATAATTTTATTACTTTTAATTATATTATTATTTATTACGTCATCCGGTTCGACCCCGGTTCGACCGGTCAAACCAGTCGAACCATGAACCTCTCGTTCTTCCGGTTCGTTGTCCGGTCCGGTTTTCACAACCTTGAACACAACAACAACAACAACCTTAATCTTTTTTCTGCATATACAACTACTAGCCTTTATCCCACTATGTGGGGTTGACTACATGAATCTTTTTTCTCCATTGTGTCCTATTAAGAGTAAAACTCTCATTTAAATAAAATAAAATGTCATTTCTAACATTTCCTAACCAAGTCTTTTTAGGTCTACCTCTACCTTTCTTAACATAGGCCAAATGTAATATATCTAATCTCCTAACCGACATTTTATGTCTCCAAACCATCTAAGGCGACTCTCTCTAATCTTCTTTTCCATTAGAGCTACTCCAACCATTTCACGTATATGCTGTTTTCGCATTCTGTCCCCAAGAGTGAAGCCATTCATCTACCTGAGCATCCTCATCTCAGCAACACAACTTAATTTTATGCTTCTCTTTTAATGAACAACATTCTACACCATAAAGCATTGTAGGTCTCACCACCATCTTATAGAATTTTCCCTTGAGTTTGTGGGGTACTTTTTCTGTCACACATGTGATCAAGGAAAAATAATATAGATCCCACATGTGCTTCAAGGAAAAGTGTCTTTTTCTAGATTTCTATGTAAGCAACAACCATTGTAAATTCTAGGATTGGTTGAGAAATATCGATGATTAATATTATAGCAACAACCAACATAAAACTTATGCCAAAAGTCATGAAATAAATTGAAATTTGAATGTTGATATAATATATTGTGCCCTTGGAGGGTATCACCTTATTAATGGCTGATAACATAAATAGAAAGCAAGATGAAAGTAATATTATGCTATAAAAAAAGTCCAACTTTAAGAAAGAAACCAATCCATATAATGCATTATGCTTAAGATTACTCCAGTAAGTTCCGTGCTGCTGCTAGAACACAAATGGTATATAAATGCAAGCACAAATGAAACGAAAGAGCAAAGGAAACTGAGAGCTGATTGCTTAAATTACAAATAGAAATTGCACCCATGCTTGATAAAGTATGCAATTTTGACCACTCATTATACAAAATGTTCTACATTTTTTTTTAAATTCAGATATAGCATGTAAATAGAGATCATATATCAAACATTTAAATTTGCAAGACACAAGCTATTAAGCCAACATAGCGACTATCAATGAATAAAATAGAAAATGATGGAAATTAATTCAAATGAAAGTTTCATGTATACTACAAATTACTGAGAAAATTAAGGCTCAACTTGTAAGATCTAAAAGTCACCCAACTCTTATTTTTTACAATGTATCCAGGAATAATTTTCAGGAAGCAAATTAATAAAATGTATAGATTTTGCCCTTATTTGAGGATTTGATATTCTTAGTTAGAGGCTTCCCAAAAGCACAAACTTTCATGGTTAGTAGTAAGGCTCTAAAAGGTTCACCTTAGAGTGGGTAGATAAAATTAGGGTCCAACGATTTTGCCCTCATCCGAATCATCAGACACAAGCTAAACCTATTATATATAGCATTACACCTTAATGTTCTACTTGGTCTAACTTAGCTTCATGAGTTGACCTAGCTTAAAATCTTCAATGATGATGTCTATATTGATTGACCTGCCTAATTCAAATCTATTTTGGATGGATCCAATCAATCTAGCTTTAAAATTGAGTTAACTGGGGGAAAACTGAGTCAGACTTAACCCTAGCATACTTTAGTTTACCTATTGAGGTGTCATACGAACTTAATGTGGTTGACCTTAATGTGGTTGAGCATAGACCAAACAACTTACCTCTAATCAACCTAACCCTAACTCAATCAAAGTCAACCCCGAGTCAACCATAGATTCAATGGTCAAAACCTAATTAAATCAACCCCAGGAAAACACATCAAGCATGACGAATTAGCCGGCTATTGTGCATCACCCTCGGATAGCCTTACAATGGCCCATTAGATCCTATGGATCATATTGACTCATTAGTCGAACCTAGTCAACGATTACTAATTAATCCTGCCATATGAAAACCCTCCTAGTCAACCTAAAAAATCTACACTAGTTAATTAGAAATCGTAGACTCTACATTGACCCCATATACCCATACCCTAGCAACCCACCTAGTCAACCTAAACACCCTAAGTCAACACCTCTATCCAAATTAGACAAACACATCTTGACCTTAGGATCGAGCTGACCCAAGTTGACTCTCAAACTCCCCTTAAGCCTAAACCTAGCTAACTTATGGACTTGTATGCAATTGTCAGCCTATAAAAGGAAGGCTCCACCTTGGTAGTTGGGAAGGTAAGAGGGCAGCAGAGAACATGTGTGAACATAAGGACCAGCTAAGCAAGCTAACACTTGCAACTAGCTAGAATAGGCATGGTGTAGGATTGAATGCATAGGATTGAATGCAGGAACAACTGTGGCTTAGTACTACAAGCTAGCAGTAGGAGGACTTCTGAATTCAGCATAGGGATAGCTACAGCTTGGTGACTACAAGCTGATAGGATCAGGTCTTACATATTGATTTCAGGATTTCCAAAAGAACATAATAAGTCTTCAAATAAACAACTAAGACATTATTAAATGAATATCAGATTATTTATATACATACCACAAAATTATTGCATATTAAGATATCTAAAACCAAAATTTTTATAGTTTCTCATATAATACTCAGATCTTTAAACCACATAAAAAATAACAGTGATATTAACCTATTTAAAGTAAAAATACACCTTTTCATGAATATGATTCAATGTGATTTAAACACTAAAGGGATATATAAGTAAATATAAATATTTAGAAAGTATTTTCAGGAATGTCTATAAATCCCCCATGAGTATTTTATTGAGCTCTTATCGAGCAACTTGTAACAACTGGATATGGCCATGAATATAAATAAACGAGTTAATGTTCAAGCTCGCTTAGTTATCTAAATAAATAATTATAAGCATGCATTGTGTAATTATTTCACCATTACTCTGACACAATAGGCCCAAGATATAAGATATATAAAATGCGTACTCTTATTAATAACTTGACAGCCCAAAATCACAATCTATCAACTAGATCTATTACTACTAAAATTACACTCAATATATTCAGTTTTAGATCTACTCAAATGAAAACCTTTAGACTCTAAGGTTGACCTCCATAATTCAAGTTTACCTTCAACTCCCTCTCTAATCGTATCGACAAGAAGAACATCACACAAAAAGCATACACCAGGGTATGAACTCTTGCAAATGTCTAGTGAGAACATCCATGACTAACGCAAAAAGATGTGGGCATAAGGCTGATCCTTGATGTAATCCAAGAGAAATGGGAAAAATACTTGGTCAAACCACCTTGTGTTTGAACAAAAGTAACAATTCCTATAAATATCCTTAATGAATTGAATATAAGCATTATTAATCCCTTTCTTTTCTAGAAGGGGACAGCTGAACTTTTAACATTGTTAAATAGTAATTTCCCTTTACTGACAAAAGTACGAGAAAAAAAAATAATACAAGCCATACCATATTAACCACAGCCTGACTTGACAGAAATTCGAAGATGCCATCACTTGCTATAACAAAGAATAAATGATGCGGTGTGATCTTGACCTTCAACACTTCAGGAACAGCCATGACCCCTATGCTCTCAGCAGTAGAGTCGCCCACACTTCTAGTGAACGCAGTTCCAGGATACATGGCATTTTGCATCCATAGCCTTGGCGGATCACCTTCATCATTCTCCTCATCGCCCCAGCTCTGTATCCCAGGATCCTTTACCCCCTCCACCTGATCAACGGTCAAAACCCTCGCCCCGCATAGCCTCACCCTCTCGTACTCGTCCTTTCGAAAAGGAGTCTGATCGTGTGAAAGGTTTTCAGCAACCAAGCGATCCCCTTCATAAACGCCAGCAACAGCTCTGGAGTCCCCCACATTTGCAACAAATAGCGTGTCACCACTAACAAGAACCGTTATAGCAGTGGTGCCACTCATGGAGTCATCTATATCACTGTTATGTAAAAGAGAATTCACTTCAAGAAATGCTGAATTATAAGCTTTCACAGGATCATCTACAAGCCCGGTATCAGCAGACAATAGGTCGACCAGTTTATCCCTGACAAAATTTGCGCATTGATCGCCGAACTGGCCGTGTCCATCAAAAACTCCGAAGAAATGGAGATTAGGATTTCCCTGCAGATTGGTCCTGATGCAGACCGCGTCCTGGTTCTCGCGGTCAGGGGTGTCCGGATAATAGCCGCGCTGTGTAAGAGTAGAATACTGAAGGCAAAGGCCATGAGACGGAACGGCCGCGACGCCCACCGTGCTACCAGTTAGCACGTGACCCTGAATCGGCCCGACCTCAACGACGACGGAGACGTCGCGGCCGGAAGAGCAGGAGGTTGACGACGGGTATCGACAGCAGCAGCAGCAGCTACATCTAGAGTAGCACTTCCCCTGCACACAACCCATCAAGACGTGCTCAACGACGGCGATGCGATGCCTTTCAACTACTTCCGTACCCTACTAAAAACAACCGCCAGAAACAATCCCAACATGGATTGCGCGAAGCAAAGGCGATTCCCTGATTCGTACACAGACGTGAGAAGCAACACCGTTGTGAATCAAAGCCGATGGAGTGCAGGGAGCCCGGCTTTCAAGCGAAGCGAAGCGTACTCAGTAAGTGAGAGTAGATGGAACTCTATGAGTCTAGGGTTTGCTTCATACGAGAAGGATCGCTTTTAAACCCTCAATCCAAGAAACCGGAGGACGAAGGCTCTGCAAACAAGGACGGCGAGTAGCCTGAAGTCTAGGAATCCTGCAATGTAGAGAGAGAGAGAGGGGTAGAGAGAGAAGATGGGACCTTGGAGTGAAGACGCCGCCATGGTATTTTGGGCTTTGTCTCTGTTCAAATGAAAGCTCCCTCCACCACCACATGGCGCACGCAATAAGCTTTCATAGTGAAAGGAGCTGAAACACCCACAGTGCACCCCAAGCATGTGAGCTTCTGGGATGACGGTGCACGTGGGTGTACGTTTTTTTTTATATTAGGCTAAATTTGAATAAATTATCCAATCCTTATAAAAAAAATATTTATGAAAATGATAAAAAAATAATAATATTTTATGAAAATAAAATAAATTTTATTAAACTTTCTAATTATTATATAATATATTTATTTTATATGGGAGAGATACATATCTCATATTTAGGTTATTTATTTATGATAAATATATTAGACTTTTCCTCTTTTTTTTTTTTCTAGGTCATATTAAAAAAACTCTTAAAATATTAGTGGTTTATGTCACAATCTTCATTAATGTGTTGATAATTTTAATAATAGTTTTTTAAGTATTAACATATTAATAATTTTATTAACAAGAATTTAAATTTATTAACATAGTTATTAAATGTTGGAAATTTTATTGGAGTGAAAAGAGAGTTTATCATCTTAGTGATGAAATGAAAGTCTGTACACGCAACTCATCTTGTGTGTTGGTTGAGAGTTTTGACTAAATGTAATTTGAGTTCGAGTTGTGTATATGATGTGTGGTGAATTTTTCTTAATTATTAAATGTCCAAAAAAAAGTCATGTACCAAGCATGCACATTAATAGTCCACATTAAACAGAAGACAATTTTTAACATAAATGATCAGAAAAGTAAGGTGTTCAAAATAGGTTGTTGGGTCGGATTTGGTCAATCTAAAATTGACTCGACCGCGAATCTAGTCACCTGAACCCAACCGTTTAATAAATGGAGGAGCGGGATCCATCTTTTTTTCAGGGTGGGCAAAAAAAATTTTGGTGGTGGATGGGCAAAGACGCTTAGAATTAATAAAATTAGGATAAAAAAAATCTTTAAGACGGGGAAAATGCCTAAAATACCCCCCCCCCACAACACACAACACAGCCAACAACCCCCACACACACACACACACACATGGGGGATCCGCCCATGAATAAAGGTAAAAAACTCCAACTCGAAATAAACCCACTAGCAATACAAATGACTTTACCCCAGCTCATAAACTAGTTTTGGTATAAAAAATAAAAATTATAACTTCAAAATATTTTTTTTATAACTTATTAACTATATAATTCAAAATATTTGAAATAAAAAAGACTATACCCACAAGTAAAAAATTTAAGGAAAAAAGATATTAAACTGATCACTTTCAGGTCAACTTGAATATGACTCATTTAATAAACAAGTCCTAACCCATTTATTAAATGGGTCAACTTGAACATGCATTTTTCATGTCAGGTTGATGGGTCAGATCATTTGTTGACACCCCTGAGAAAAAAGAAAAATTTAGAAGGCTTAAATAAATTAAAGCATTTTGATTATGCTACTTGAATGTTGCAGTGATCCACTTATCTCATTTATTAAAGAATGTTGGATTATATTAATTGAATCGCAGGGGTTGTCTCTTATGATAATTGTGGAGAATGATGGAGGTAGTGGATCTGTGGCATTGTTAAATACATGATGGATAGCAGTGGACATCATCAGTGGTCGTGACGAGTATTATCATCAATCTGTTGGGGTGATAGCACTAATGTTAGAGACTAAGCAATGTTGAGCAACAGTAATTAGACATTGGCGATTGTTATAGGGCAAATGATGGTGGTCTTTGGAGGATGCGTGAAAGTAATCATAAATGTCTTTGATGATAATCATCGAAGGATGGGTGATGGGAACCAAATAACTCCATTATGGGTGACGGTGAATGATCATCAACGAAGTTCAATAATGTTGGATGACTGCGACAACATTAGAATTCAGATGCTAGAAGATGGTTAGTGTGGCTTTCCACATAATCATTGATATCACTATAACAATACATAAATTAGACAACAACAAAACCTATGATATTTTAATTACACTTGGCTATTTAGGCTTTTCATATCATACGAATACACTTCACTACTGCATAGAATGTTATACATTGTCATACTTATTGACTTTATGGGCAATAAAGGGGTAGCTATCCCCAGGAATAGAATATTAAACATCAATATTCATATATTTCATAAGTTGATGGAGAGTATCTTATATTCATAAAGCCAAAGCCTAAATAAATTGTGAGCCAACACATCTCAATGGGCTCTTTCCCTTTCCCATACCCTGAAGCAAAATGCATATAAACTGTGAGCCAATACATCTCAACATGCGACAATCATCAATCTAAGCTTCCAAATAAATTATTTATTACACATTCATATGAGTTTTAAAGCGGCTCATAAACAAGTTCTTATATTTGAACAGAATTCAAAGAATTATAGACATTGTGAATCTCATCCTGACATATCAAAAAATAGATCATTATGACTCCCAATGACTATTACCAAAATAGAATGGCATATAACACTTGAATGTATGTTTAGCACTAGAGCAAAACTTCCTCCACATATACGAGATCTCCTTAAAATCACATGTTACAATCCAGGAGCTCAAATTTATGTTTTGATGATTATAAATATTATTGGAGGATTATCTACTTATTACTGCATATTATTTTAGATATTTATTTTGTGCACTACTAATCTTTCAGGTAACACCATACACGAAAAAAGACTGAAGATTTAGGCTTTAGACTATGCATTATGAGTGTATGAGTTAAATTAATTATGTATTGAAGAGTTTGTAATTTAATTTTTTTCTCGATTCAATGAATGTAAAAGATATATGTTAGCTTAGCAAACATGAATACGTATATGGGGAAAGTAAAAAAAATAAATATTTTAATTTTCTACTAAATTGTACAATACGATCAACTAAAAAAATCAATTAAAAGGTTTAATTTAAATAAAAATTTTAATTTAAAACATAACTAAGCATACAGTACGACCACAAATCATACTGGACAAACAACTATAATAAAAAACCCCACCGTCAAATATAAATTACCTAAAATAGGTAATTTTGAATTTTGGAATTTTTATTGTTCGTAATGTATGATTAATTTCCTACTGTGTAATATTTTAAATTATTACATATTCAAGTCAGTTAATTAAGCAATAAAATCAAATCCGAATTGATTGCAAATCATATATTCCTATCATAGATCATACTATGCGACTTACCCGAGGAGCCTCTGATGAAATATGAATCATCCAATATGATCCATAGATCGTACTGTATGACTCACCTGAGAACTCTCTAGATGATATTTGGTTCGTTTTGTACGATCTGATCAAGAATTATACTAATCATACTATACAGCTATTCATTCGGACAATACAAGTTAAGAGATTGAATAGATCATCATGCATACTATTCATTGTATAGTACGACAATGTGATATTTGAACTAATCAAAATGTATAATATATGTATCATTCCATACAAATAGTTATGGCTTAATTGAAAATTAGATTTTTTTAGAATCTTACTATTTAAACTTTTCTTAATTTATTTGATAGAGTATTTTGGCTCTCTGAGACAAGGTTGTAAAAATTGGATTGGACAAAAAACCGATAGAAGAAGAGGTTCATGTTCGACCGATCAATCGAGGTAGAACCACATGATGTAATAAATAATAATATTATTAAATGTTAATAACATTAACATAATAATTATGGTAATATAATCTCAAAACTTATAATTCTAAAAATTTTAACTATATAATTTTAGTAGATTATCTTTCAATATAATTAAATTAAATTGAAATGATGAATATAATTATATACTAGAATTAAATTATAAGAAATATATTTTAATTATATTTCATGCAACTTTTTTAGTCCCACATTATGGGAGAGTATGAGATGGTTGCATTTTTAACTCTTTATATATTATAAAATTCACTCTTTTTTGATAAAACATACTTTATGAGATGACATCCATATATTATGGTGTAAAAAATTTCAATATTTAATAAAAATTTTACTTTTAAAAAATGTAATAAAGTAAAATATATTATTTATATATTTTTTAAAATAAAAAGATATTTATAAAATCAGCCGGTTCTTTCGAACCTGGACCAATTCACTAGTTGAATCGCCGGTTTAGTCTCAGGCTAGTTCTCTACGAAGCCAATTTTTAAAATGGAATAGATCAGACAACTAACTGATTTACGGTTGAACCGGCCGGTCCGATCCGATTTTTAAAACAATGGTCTGAGGGTGTGTAACTTCTATAAACAAAGGTTTGAAGAGAGAGAATGATGCAAAGAAGAGAGAGGTGAAATTGTGAGAGAGGAAGAATAGCTTTCTAGGTGTAAGGGAGTGTGAGAGAGGGTATTTTTCACACGGTTGCTTCGGCCAATGTCCACCTTATTTGTCCATATGTTAAAGTCTTTTTTGAGGGAAAATTTGTAATTGAACTATTGGATTCAAAGGGCCATTGATAACTTCGCTCCACCAAAAAAGGTGAAATAGATTCAGCTACTATACTACACCAGAGAAGGTGAAAGGGATTTGACTATTCTGTCTCACTGGGAAAGGTGAAAAGGATTTCAGTTCTTAGTCATAATGAGAGTAGAAGTGATTTGTGAGAGTTTCTCTGCCTTGCCGAGGGAGCTAAAGGAGGGACACTAAAGTATTGAGTTCAATACTCGGAGAGGACTCTGGGGAGTGGACATAGGTCAAGTTCACTGAATCACTATAAAATTCTAGTATATTTGTTTATTTACTTTATGTACTTTTCTTTTTCACATGTTACTTGTTGCATATTTATGTTGGTGATTATTGTGATACAAGTTTTGAGATTGATTGTTTTTGTTTCTTGGTTAAAAAAGTAAATAAAAAAATAAAAAATAAACATTTGTTAATTATTTTTCTACAAAAATCAAAATACAAAAAAACAAGTATTTGTTTTATTAATTCGCTTCCGCATTGAAAATTTTTATTTTGCTTTTAAGTTAGTAAAATTATTTTTTAAATTTCAAAAGGGATTTTT